TCTTCGTAGCGTAGGTAGTAGAGACCATGATTGTATTTTGGATCTTTCGGAGTGCATTGCTATTATGCTTTTGTTCGGGTAACGTTTGTTGTTCTATGAGCGTTTACACCGGTACACGAGAGATGAGCATCGGCTTCCGAGAGACAACGGTGGATAGGTTCCAATTCATAGAGTGTGTGAGAGCTTCTGCGTTTGACGTGAGTTAACTTCATTGCGAGTGAACGAATTTCGCAGAGCTAAGCCTTCGTTATTGTCGATTTCATTCTTCCGGGCGAGAGTCTACACCGTGGACGGTGTATGGTTCAAGTCTGGGGGGGTGGATAGATCCTTCATCCATTCAGGCCTATCTATTTAGGATTGCATTTAGTTTAGGTGCATCTTATCATGGCATATAGATTTAGGAAAATTTCCACTTTTGCATATCACTTTGCATTAATTGCATTCACATGTTTTCTTTTTTTCCATATAGACGATTTTTGTTAGGTTTGCATGATTGCATATGACATATAGATATAGGTTCATATAGGTTCACGTGCATACCTCGAAAACCCGTTTTGAACATCATTTGGAAGATTTTTGGGATGATAGAGTAGGACTATCTTGATGATCGAGTGACTTTGTAGAGCGTGGTTGAACCGTGTTGAATTGATAGTTCTCCAGACTTTCTATATATAGTTTGTGGGATGAGGTTGTTGTTTGGAACCTACGGAGTTGATACGACCATATCCAGGCTATATGTTTCTTGTAGAACCTTTTCCGAGTCTTGCAGGTCGATGAAATCTAGTTCAACAATTGCCTTGGGAAAATAAAGCATCTCGACACTCCGCTGTCGGAATCTCGTCAACGAAAATCGTTCGAGGACATGAGTGCATCGATTGATGGTTCGGGTCTAAGTTGTGGGTTGGACATCGCATCAAAAGAAAAAAATATATAAAAAAAAAAAGAAAAAAAAGAAAAGAAAGAGAGAAAACGATGTCCTTCAACTTCAACGTCCTAGAAACCCGAGGTGCTAGCGTTCATTAAAGAAATTCTACAAAAAGGTAAAAATCCAGGTACAGAGTAGAACTAAGATCGAATAGGCTAAGTTGAGACAAGGATAGGTTCAGAAATAGGCTTGGTGTGTTGTAGAGATTCTAATGGGTTCTAGGTGGAAATAAAAATCCCATGGCTAGGTAGAGTAGTCTTTGGTAGGAAGATCATAGTAGATGGCGAGTATATGAGCCAAGAGTTCACTGACTATCTGGCAGATTGTGGGATTGTCTCACAGTTGACTCCACCTGGAACGCCACAGTGGAATGGCGTGTCCGAGAGGAATTCGTGAAGACCAGAAAACTGCCAACGCAGGGCCGGATCCGACTGGATCCGGTCCGGATCAAGGACCCCATGAATCTGGATCCGGTCCGGATCCACCTGGAATCGGTCCGGATCCAATCAGAAACCCTAATTCGCGATTTTCAGCATTGGAATGGGACTAGAACTCTTGGCAGCCACCCTAGGGTTATAAAAAGAGCCCTAACCACGTCCTAGAAGGGAAGAACCTCAGAGAACACTTAGATATAGATTTTTGGAGAGCTTTTGGTGAGAGAAGAATAGAAGTTCACGGGATTTCGGGAAGAAGAAGGAGGATTCGATCGTGAAGATTAGACATCGACATGAGCTTTTCTATCCCTTCTTTTATCTCTTTTTCTCTGTTCTTTCTATTATTTTCCATGAACCTTGAGTAGATCCATGACTATGGGTTAGGGATTCGTTTGTGTTTTGGGTATGTTTGAACCCTAACTTGGATTTCGGTTTTGATTTGATTCGGTTCTATTGATTTGCACTTTTATTGGATTGATGTTTGCTAACCCCTTGATCAATTATCTTGGATTCTGAACCACATAGAGATATGGGTTTGTTTCGGATCAAAATCAATAGGATAGATCGTATTATTCACATAGAGATATGGTTTAATCGATTTAGGGTTGATGATAGCGTTCTTCATGCATCTAGGGTTAACTTGAATAGATCGAGAGATTGACGAGTTACTCTGTAGGTAGGGAGTTAGTAGACCGAGAGGTGAATTCTCTATCTTTGTTGCTTGATGATTCCCGAATACAAGTCATAATCGTTATTCATGCATGCTTAGTAAATACCCATACACGCGAATACGATCCCGACACCCGTAGTCATCCTTGTTTGATAGGTTACTCGTTTCACTTGCTTTCTTATTTCGTTTCATATAGATTCCACACACTTCCATCATTACTTGCTTGCTTGCTTTGATCTCTTTTCGATTTAGATTTGGAGTTAGCAACCGGTCCTCGTGTTCGACCCCGTGTTACGACGATCCGTATCCTTGCGGTGAGTTGTGAATCGGGTATAAATTCTAGACTCGGTACACACGTATCACATCCCAACTTAAAAAACAAAGGCAACATCATTTTGGTTTAGATTTGAATGAAACGTCACCAACCACATACCTGACTTGGGATTTCTTTTTCTGTCTAAATGTAAAAGGAATACCCAGAAAATGTCACAAGAGTATTATCGTATGCTAAATTTCTGGAACAAGGAAAAACAATTCTTCAAAATCATTTGAGAAAGTTCGAACAGAGCAAGAGAATTCCAGAAAACTGCTTGCGTTTATTTGATATGTTTTTACAGATTTTATACAAAAACAGAACGTTTAACCTAAATTATGAAAATAGAAACATGATCTGTCTAGCCTATCTAGGAACAAATGCATATACGGTTGCCGTATTTGACGAGTGTCAATCTTCCATAATATCATTCATAAAAAATATCAATAACTGATTCGTGTTCACATTCTCATCATGGGTTATATATGTTATGTAACGCGCTCTAGGGAAAACAATATTTCCTTGTTCTTAAAAATCTTTAGTTATGGACTGCGGCCTAATGTGACATCTTAGGTCTCCTCTACCGTATTAATCCTTATCACGTGTGCGTGTGTACACGTAGAAGGTGAAGTATATGTAATTGTATACAAGAGTGTGTGTAGGAAGGAATTGAGGAAACAGGAGATGGAGAGGTGATGTTACCGATAACGTACGGAGGGAATGCGCTGTTGACGAGAGTGGCTTTGGTGAGAGGACTCAGTCCCGTGGTTTTCGTTGTCTCCCGTCAAGCCATCGCCACTCTCTTCATCTCTCCCTTCTCTTTCCTCTCCCTCTGGTATGCGTGTATATATATACACCTCTGTATTTGTTCTTCCCCTTGCATTCGTTATTACACATTCTTCTCTTCCTAAAACCCTCTACCGGAATTAGAGGCTTCTGGTGGATCGCACTTACCTCGGTTATAGGGTGATTACGAAAGAGCTGTTCATGTTTTACATGCATGGTTTTAGCGAGCTGAATCGAGATATAAACAAGAATGTGAAGAAAAAACAGGATGACGGTGAATCAGAATGCGTATTTTGAAGGGATGTGACCAACCTCATTCCCGGGGTGACCGTTATCATCACCACCATCAACTCTACTTTGTTATTTACATAGATATAGCACAGACTTAATTATCTCTCTTTTTTAAAAAAAAGAATGGAGAAGGTGAACGTGAGGAGCTTGAGAGGGGTAGCGAAGATAATAGGGACGGGGATATATGTGCAGGAGGAGCCATGGCAATGACGCTCCTAAAGGGCTCTCAACTGCTCAACTCCACCAAGGGTGATGATGATGACACCTGGTTTCTCCTTTTAAGCACTTGTAATTTTGGTTCATCCTTCAGGTTCTTTCTTCATTCTCAATAGCAATAGCTATAGCATGAGGATGATATATTTTTGGTCCTAACTAGTAAGATTCGTTGGCAGGCTCCGATATCAGAGAACTGTCCAGATCACTTGTACACGTCCTCGTGGATGTGTTTACTGGCGACGGTATCATCAGCGACAGTGGCAGTGATATTTGGGAGAAGGGATTTAGGATCTTGGAAGCTTGATTCCTTCTTGAAGCTCTCTAGCTGTCTATACTCTGTAAGTCAATACATACATATGGTCTTATCCAACACAACATGTATTATTACACGACTGAAGAATGATATATATATATCAATATGTGGAAACAGGGGATAACAGTGGCGATATCCTTCTTTGTGCAAGCATGGTGTGTGTTTCTCACACAAAAACACTAGATCCAGTTCGTTACAGAGATCGAGAATGGAAATGGCAAAGAAAAAACGACTGTTTTGTCACACCTTCCTCTTCCTTTTTCCAAGACATATTCAAACTGCTCTACAATTCAAAAGATTGGCAACAAAAAGAAGAAGCATCAGGTCTCTAATGCACACAGGGGAAGAGAATACACAGACAGTGCCTGCAGCCTGAAGGATGGAGATGAAGACAAGCCGAACAACAACCCTCACAGCTAATGCGGTTGATGTTTACTTCTGCGATCTGTGGGTCTTCTTGCTCTCAAAATCTGGAGCCGAACTCTTATAATTTCTCTCTAATAACGCCTCCAACTGCTTCTTCGGTTGTTCCTGAAGGCACAGCAACCGATAGAGTAGACAACGATGAGGAAGATGAGGAAGACGATGTTGACCTGTGCGACTTTTTTCCAGGAGTTCTTGATGTTGTCGAGCAGACCGGCCTTGCAGGCTTGGCAGTCATAGCACAGCGCGTCTGCTTTGTTGTCCCACAGGTCACAGTCCTCATTGGTGTAGGGACCAGGTGTCTTGGTCCAATTGGTCGGGCTCACATAGCTGAAGGCGCAGTCGTTGGATGGCTTACAGCATCCAGACTGCACAATACCGAAAACAGACAAAGTTTTGTGAGGTTAAAGATGACAAAAACACACAAGCGAATGCTGGCATGCAGGATGCTTATATGGATGACACAAAAAAAGAAAAAATTAGGCAGGCATCCAAAGTTGTTCAAAACTCAACCAGAGGAGAGGAAAACTACTACAAAAAAATCAACTATAATAACAGTTGCAGTGGGAAAGGGCAACACCTACAAAGATGTTTTCGTCACATAATATCGTATATCCACCAAAGTTATCCATATATAACGGATGACTAACGATATGCTCATTCCAAACAATTCACCTCAAAACCAAGACCTTGTGTCTAATGTTCACGTTTACACCACGAGATTTAGCCTTTAGGGGATAAATGGACAAACGTAGCCTAGCTCTAATATGGCAACACCGTTGTTATTCTCCCGTTATTCATATCTAAAAGCAAGATTCCCAATGATCTCAAATTCATCCTAAAAGGCTTTGCCTGCTTCTGCCTGCATTTTTTTTAACTAAAAGTACAAGTAAGCCTATGTGTCCTTTCTAAAAGGTCAAAGACAAAAAGATTCTGGGAAAAGCAGAGTGAATCGGTATCATTGTCAAAAAGCTGAGGGACTCTCTTAAAAGTGATTGGCTACGGATGATTCAAAATCAGATGAGCAGCGGAAAATCGGAATTCAGAATTCAAATCTCAAATGTTACCTGAAGAGCGTTGAGGTTGGCCTTGTAGAACTCATCCATGGAGTCGCCGGCGTAGCGGCCGTGGAAAACCGAGCAGACATTGGAGTAAATCAAGCAGCTCCGGATTCGGTTCCAGTTATTGGGATCGGTAACGCGCTTCCGGAGCCAGCCGGAGTAATCGCCGAGCCTGTATTCCCTGTAGCCTCTGTCGGACAAAACCTGGCCGGCGCCGCGGTTGGTGACGGCGAAGGCGAAGATGGTGAAGCAGAAGCCGATGAGAATGAGGACGAACATGGCGAGGAGGTAGAGCCAGAGGAGGCAGGAGACGCGGCAGCAGGCGCCGAAGAGGCCGGCGATGGAGACGGCCATGAGGAAGAGACCGAGGAGGAGGATGGGCTTGTCGAGGAAGCCCTCGCACTCGGTGGCGGCATTCTTGCCGAGCCAGATCCCAACGGAGAGGATGGGGATGGAGAGGAGGAAGGTGAAGAAGTTGAGGATTCCGAGAAGATTGTTGCTAATGTTGAACATTGTGCTCGATCGATCCGGATTCGAAGACGATTCCGCATTTATAACTCCGTTAGTTGTAACCGATGCACCGTTGATAATGTATTGATGATGATCTCTTAAAAATAGATGCGAGGAAGCGCTCGCCCTCGGTGGCGGCATTCTTGCCGAGCCAGATCCCAACGGAGAGGATGGGGATGGAGAGGAGGAAGGTGAAGAAGTTGAGGATTCCGAGAAGATTGTTGCTAATGTTGAACATTGTGCTCGATCGATCCGGATTCGAAGACGATTCCGCATTTATAACTCCGTTAGTTGTAACCGATGCACCGTTGATAATGTATTGATGATGATCTCTTAAAAATAGATGGCTTTTTTTTTTAATATATATATATCAGGATAGATGGCTTCCCACTCCAATTCAGAATACCAAGGTTTCCTATCGAAACGAAACACTTCATCTCAGGATCATCAACCAAACAAACACGACATGTGTGCATCAAAGGAATAAACAAAGAAACTAGACACCCATTGGCCTTAGCCTATCGAATGGACAAAAAGGAGAAAGCATACACTTCTCCTCATCGAACGAGGAGAAGGATTCACTCATACGCGCACGCACTCTATCTCACCGCTGGGTATTTTAGGATCCAGACGGCACAGATCTCTCCGTCCAAAGTCTTACGGGATATCTTTACCCGTTGTCTCGCCTCACTACAAACCAATCTGATTTCTCCAAGTCAATCATGCATCATCCCATAATGAACAATCAAAAGTAAAATATATAAACACAATCCCAATCCAACAAAAACTTTTATCTGCAGTTGGTCCTGTTTTTAAAAATAATAAAAATATGGCTCGCAGGCCGACGAACCGGCCCATGGGGAGGTCGATCAGTAAGCCCATTTTTTTGGAAAAAAATCAGGAGTTGATCCCAAGATTCTTTCAAACGTGATGATAGGAGAGATCTACCCTTTAATCTCTCCAACCCCATTGACTCCGTACTTGATACTGACACCACACATGCTCATGCATGCATCTGTGTATATAACACATCCCTTCAAAACTCGAAACACCGAAAGAGAAGCTTTCCTCTGAATCCTGATGGCAGAAAATGCCCCGCAAGCACTTGTAACAGCAGAACCGGCCACACCGACGGCGACAGAAACCGAGGCCAAGACCGCAGATAAAATGGAGTCGCAGAGCAATCCGCCGGGAGGGATGATGGCGGCGGCGCACGTGATAGCGCCTGGGGTGCTGTCGATATTCTCCTTCTTCCTGTCCCTGGCTCTGCTGGGATGCGCCGTCTGGCTCCTCTTCATGAGAAGCTACGACTGCGAGGACCTCCTGGGGCTGCCACGTGTCCAGACTCTGGCCAGCGTCGGCCTCCTGGCCGTGTTCGCCATCAGCAACGCGGCTCTCTATCAACAACTGTCGACCAGCAACGCGGCTCTCTATCAACGGCAGAGGTTCCCAATGCCGGTGGTGGTGGTGATAGTGGTGACGCTGTTGCTGATGCTCTTCCTCGGCCTTGCTTACTCCGGCGTCAACGAGATGCAGAGCCAACGGTTTCCGGCGACTGCCTCCTGGTTCAAGATGAAGGTGATGGACGATTCCAATTGGAACAATATCAAGTCCTGTATATACGATAAGGGCACCTGTAACGAACTCGTTTACAGATCCTTGAGGAAAGATTCTTATGATCTGATCAGCAACAGTAAAATGTCATCCGTTCAGGTATATATGTATATATGTATATATATGTATGTATATGGAATGGTGGATGAAGGATCGCATTCTGACATTGTTTTTAATGAATGTGGGGGATGGAGAGCGGGTGCTGCATTCCACCGAAGACGTGTGAGATGGAGGAGGTGAACGCAACGTCATGGAGAAGGAAAGAGGAGATGGAATACGACATAGAAAACGAAGACTGCGAGATGTGGAGGAAGGAGTGGAGCGTTCTGTGCTACGACTGCAGGTCCTGCAAGTTGGGTTTCATCAGAGCTCTTCGTCGGAAATGGTGGAAGCTCGGCGTCTTCTGCATCGTCATGTCCCTCCTCCTCCTCCTCTCCCATCTCTTGCTTTTCTTGGCCACTTTCTGGGAGCGTCTCAAGACCTAGAAGATTTTTTTTTTTTTTACTGCGTTCCTTTTCTTTCTATTTGTCATGAATGCTACATAAAATTCCCCTGCACATTCAATAAACATCTACTCTTCTTATATTTGACCACTCGGTTCTTTCCTTTGGACACGAATAACTATGATGAAAAACACAACTAGCAAAGGAAATCCTATTAAACAAATGAATAATCGCCATTGCCGATGGGGGCTCTGTTGTTAAGGATGTCGGAACGCAGTGATTCGATTTCCTTGACGGCACGGATGATGTCATCCTCCATCGCTCTCAGCTCACTCACTTGCTCCACGTTCACCCCCTTCCCCTTCTCAAACCTTTCCCTGTTTCACCACTACATTATTACTCCACTAGTTGTAGTGTACCACTCATTGGCCTTTGCAACTTCATTCCAAGCAAGAATGCCGGTTGTTAATCGATTTCCAATTAATCTAGTCCGAAACCCAGTCAGTCTGCTAAAGAAAACCAAAGGTTAAAGGCGAGAGAAATTACCGTAATCTCAGGTGCTCGTCCTTGAGGCTTTCGAGCTCATCACCCAACTCCTTCAGACATGATGCATCACTACGTCGCTTCTTCAGCTCCTCAGAAGCAGAATGAACACGTGACACGAGTTCTTCACGCTCTCTCAACAGCCTCTGTGCTTCCAAGTGAGCCAGCTGAAGCTCCCTCCTTATATTCTCACCATTCTTGACAACAGCCTCCATTTTTGATATTTTCTCCAATGTTACTCTGACCTGAATATCACTTTCTGTCTCGATGCCTCTGATGTGGGCTCTAAGTCCCTGTACTTCATGTTCTGCTGTGATCAGGTCATCCCTCAGAACGACGTGGCTGGCTGCTAGCTTCCGATTGTCAACAGAGAGTTGGTCTATCTCAGCGGCTTGAGACGCAATCTTGTTTTCTAGTAACTCAGGGTGCGAAGCCCGCTGCTGCCTCATTACACCAGTGGAGGTGCCTTGGACCGACCTGCCATGGTGCTTTGCTGGCAACCTGTCTCTCGAGGACGACATCTGCACTGGAGGGAAGAACATGTGATAAGAACCAACCCAATCAATACTGGAAAGGGGAAATTAAACAAGAAGACTGAGAAAAAACACTGCAAACTGGATTTCACAGGGTAAATCAACCATAGAAAGATATCTGAGCAAAAAAAAACTACACACAGAACAAAACAGATCAATTTAACCGATCATATCAGATTCAGACTTGAAATTTAAAGGTAAGCAAGGGAAGTGAAGTATCCATCACATAACAACTAAGCTGTTTCCTTCTCATATCTCTTTCTCCCTCGGCAGTTAGAGCCATTCCTAGACACTTTGTTACTTGACCCGCAAACCCTTTGTCGACAATCGACAGTTTCTCCTCGTATATATCCTGTCTCCTTTGCAACAGCATAATTTGCAAGTTCAGGACCAAAACAAATCCCAATTCTGCAATTGTACAGATTTTTCGTTTTAGCTGAAAAGGGAAAGGCAGCTTTCTCAACCAGAAAACCGAGTTTACAGGCGAAGCAGTCAGTCAAAGCCATTGCCGCAGCATCTACTTAAATAAAGCCTAAGAAAAAAACCAAATCGATCGCTACAGATACGAATGTGATAGCTCCCATTTTCACTTTGCAGGTGAAATCCAACAGAAAAACGGATTTTTACCAAAGGCTTTTGAGTTTCGACAAAATTACACAGAGAGAGAGAGATTACCCAAAGCCAGAACAGCAGAGAACTTGGCTTGTCCTTACGGTCAAGGATTATAAACTACAAAAATCTTGCACAGAAGCCGTCGAGAACAGGGGATCTCCGGACAAAGAGCATAAACGGATCAACTGAGGCCGTTGGGTGTCGCTTAGCATAGATTTTCCGCTCTCAATACAAAATTTTGACAGTAAATCAAACACACATTCCCAAGCGACCAGAAACAAAACAAACAATTGGGTCGGGAGAGAAATCGCATATGGGAACAGACCGAAAACCCCAACTCGGGGGGAGACCAAGCGGTTGGGGGATGGAGTTTGGGCTTCGCAGGCTTGCCAAAACACGCGATTGGGGACTGGGAAATAAGCATTCATTTAACCCAAATCATATCGGCCCACACGTTGTTCAACTCCTCACGCCCCACGATCTGTTGCTAATTTTTATTAAAAAAAAAAAAGAGCGAGAGAAGGGGTGTGGGCCCATAAGAGAGCCCACCATGCTACTTGCTTGCTCGGTCGGAGTTGTAACAGTGTCGGCACGTAATATAACTGTCACGGAGATATCATTATAAAATAGAAAATAGAAATACAGCTGGCGAGTGGGTCCTCGGAGTGACCTTTTTAAAGCCTCTTGTCCATTTCCCCATCTGCCCTTTCTTGCCTTTATAAACGGACCTAAATAAACATTATTCCCCGGTATTTTTAATTTTAACAAAATATATTCTATACTTCCTTTGATTATATAATTAGTGACATTATAATGACTCCAGTAGCAACATTGCAATTAATGAAACATAGGGGTAAGCGTTTCGGTTTTCGGATCAGAATTTTAGCGGTTCGATTCGGGAACGATTTATTCGGTATTCTAAAATTATACTAAATCAGTACCGTATATTATTCGATTCGGTTCGGTTTCGGTTTTTACTACAAAAAATTAGATTTTCTTAAGAAAATTCTAATTTTTCGGGAATTTTATAAAGTTCAGTTCGATTCGGTTCTAAAAAATTCGGTTCTATAAAAATCATATCTTTGAGAAATTTTAAACGGTACAGTTTAAAAAAAATATCGAAATTTTCGGTTCGATTCCGAAAAACCGAACCGAAACAACCACCGCTGATGAAACATATTCAGATTTTTCAAAATATTTCACCATGATCAATGTGTTTCACAATGTGTTTTCTAAATGCTTTGCATTATCCATTGAGTATAGCTAAGCTTTACTTTGTTCTCATAGCTTTTTCTTTCCTCCAATGGGATTCGTGGCCTGTTATTAGTGAGTAGATAACTCCTTTTTCCCATTCTTTCTCATGTATCTGGGTAGGTATTAAGTAAAAATGGAAAGCGAGTTTACTTGTGACTTAGAGGCTTTGCCGTGATTGTAGCCGTAATAGGACAGATACCACCTCACGAACTTCTTCAACCCCGTCTGAAGATCCGTGGTGGGCTTGTACCCGAACGCCATTCGAGCCGCGCTTGTGTTGGCATGCGTGAAGGGCACGTCTCCGTTTCCGGGCATGTCCACCACATTCCTCTTTGCCTTCACCTTTAGATGCCTCTCCAGTATATCCACCAGATTCGGCACCGTCACCGGAGATGTGTTCCCCAGATTGAAGATCCGGTACGGTGCGGGTCCCCGCTTTTTCCCGCTCGACCCGGTGCTCTTACCCGACGTGTCCAGCGAGCCCAGACACCCTTTGACTATGTCGTCGATGTATGTGAAGTCGCGGGCCAAATCCACTCTGTTCTTTCCCCGGTATATGGTTATCGGTTTCCCCTGGAGGATGTTTCGGGTGAAGGAGAAGTACGCCATATCGGGTCGCCCCCAGGGTCCGTACACCGTGAAGAATCGCAATCCGGTAATGGCGAGGCCGTATATATGGTTGTATGTGTGGGTGATTTCCTCGCCGGCTTTCTTCGTCGCGGCGTACAGGCTCGCCGGCTGGTCCGTGCGATCGGCCTCAGAGAACGGGCTCTTGTCGTTGAGGCCGTAGACGGAGCTCGACGACGCCCACACGATCGCCGGCTGAGGATTCGCTGATTTGCAGATCTCGAGGAGCGTCACGAGTCCGGCGATGTTGCTGTGCACGTACGAATGCGGATTCTCCATCGCGTACCGTACGCCAGCCTGCGCCGCCAGGTGCATCACGTGCGTGAACGCCACCACGTCGAAGAGTTTAGCGAGTAGCTTCGCGTCGTTCACGTCTCCCTCCACGACGAAGATCCCATGGTCGCTGAGCAGAGCTTTCCGCGCCTTCTTCAGGGACGGATCGTAGTAGCTGTTGAAGTTGTCCAGTCCGACGACACCATCGCCGCGCTTCCTCAAGGCAAGGGACACGTGGCTTCCGACGAATCCGGCAGCGCCGGTGACGAGAACAGACATTCCACCGGAGCGGTGGATCTGCGCGGAGCTCCGGACCGGCTTCTCCCCTTGGATGGACGAGAACAGACATTCCACCGGAGCGGTGGATCTGCGCGGAGCTCCGGCCCTGCTTCTCCCATTGAATGCCGCCCCAGGAGGCGGAGAAGTAGCGGCTTCCGGAATCGACGAAGCTCTGGAAGCTCAGATATGAAGCCGTCAAGGCAATGAGGAAGAGAGCCCATAAGAACATGGTGCTTGTGGAGGCGAAGCAGCGGTAGAACTGGCGATTCATGGCGTGATTTCTGTCGATTTTGAATTTTCCCGGGGTCGAGGGGAACAGCTCTTCCTCCAAAGACGGCATATCTCCAGTGGATTCTGAATAGAGAGAGATTCAAATATCCAGGGAAAAAGGCGAGAAAGGGAAGAGGTGCAGAGAAAACCAAGGAGAGGATCTGTGATGTTCCTGCACCTGCCAAAAGATGGAGAGAGAGACAATGTATATATACAGAGGTGACCTTCCACGAAGGCCACGCGTGAACGCGTTAATGGACGGCCAGATTGGATTTTGGAGGATTTAACAAAACATGCTCTTGGGAAGACAAATTACACTGTATTTTCGTTGTAATGATCAGAAATAATATAACCCGACTTTTGAGTATTTTGTAAGACGATGACCAGTTTTAAATACATTGAATTTTAAAGCACCCATTAATAATAGGGGGTTCATATTGTTTAATGAGGGCAATCAATAACGCAAAAAAAATAAAAAAAGGGTTTCTAACGTGTTTTTAAGCAAAGTTTATGCGCTATGATTAGCATCCAATCATTCATTGATTTAATGACAGATATTGTTGTGACCAAAAGTAAGCGGTCTCTCCTTTCTCACTCAGAACTCAGATCGTTTCTCTGCCAGATTGGTCGTGGGTCCGTCGACTTCCTCCTCTATTCTCTTGGTCTCGATCTCTCATCTGTGTCTGACGGCTACCAATCTCTGTCCATCCCGCCTTCGAAAAATATTCGCATTAATGATTTTCTCCAGCTTCTTTACGAGAGAAAAATGGGCCAAGCTGACCTTCAAATCAAATGGGCCCTCCAATTGGATCCTGTATCCATAGCCCATCTTTTTAACTTCGACTTCCTTCTTTTGCCCCTTCACAAACAACACTTCTCATCTGGATCTGTTACGGTACCGATCTAGGCGGAGATTTCCCCCCCCCTTTGGTGTTCTTCTAATTTCATACATTCCTTAACCGGCTCTCCGGCCTCTTCCGGTGAGTTCGAATTTCTGGATCCGTCCGACATTTAGCTCTTCAGTTTTTGTAATTTTCCTTCTGCTGAAAATCCTAGGGATTATCTCCTTGAGAATGGAAAGATCCATGGGAGGGCTTCGATGGTGGTTTAGGTTATTGATTGCTGGTTGATTTGATCTTGTTGGATCAACAGCCTTGAGAATTTGACTTCTCCTTTGTAGCAGTCTAGGTTTCTAAAAGTCCACGATCTTTGGACTCGATGACGCGTAGAAATCCTATTTTAGTCTGCCTCCTTTCTGGGATCTATATTTTGAGCTAGTTTCTTCATGCTTGGCATCTTAATGTACGGTATATCTTGCAAGGGTTCATCGATCATGAATGCTCTTTCAGACGTCTTTGTTGATTGTTTAGCTGATCTATTTAACTTCATATGGCCGTGCAAGTATAATTTCTCTTTGATTACCTACGGATTTGCCTTGATTATTAGATGAAGGAATCTAAAGAAGGAACAAGGGAAAGGGGGCCCAAATCATCCTCTGCGAGTTCCCTCCCTCTTATTCTTGATGTCCAAGACTTTAAGGTAAGGATTTAACTTCAGTTTTTCCTCCGCTAGAGGTTATTGTTTTAAACTCATTTTTTCGAATCTGTAATGCTTCAAAATTTCCCATGCAGGGTGATTTTTCATTTGATGCATTGTTTGGAAACCTGGTGAATGACCTATTACCGTCCTTCCTAGAAGAAGAGGTAGATTCAGCAGATGGACATGGCAACATCATTGGCATTGATGGTTTGGTAAATGGGCATATACGTGCCCCATCTGACGCAGCCAAGCTATCTCAGTTGTTGACTGCTCCTTTATTCCCAGAAGTAGATAGTCTCTTGTCTCTGTTCAAGGGTGCTTGCAAGGAGTTAGTGGATCTTCGGAAGCAGGTGACTGTTTGAGACTGTTTTCACTGTGTCTCACATTTTTTTCCATCTTCTGATGTCAAGGTTTTGTTACCTTTGTTGGCAGATTGATGGAAGGCTCAACAATCTTAAGAAGGAGGTTTCAGCACAAGATGCTAAGCACAGGAAGACACTTACGGAGGTTGACAGACAGTTACTTCTGTATTTCTGCTTTTTGGTTTGTTATTTTATGTCTCCACATGCTTATGAATCAGTGCCTGATGAGCAACATAAAGTTTGAATTGGTGCCCTGATCAATATTTTTGATGGGTCCCATCATTTACCTTGTTTTGTATTGGCACCTGTTTAGATAGAGAAAGGTGTAGATGGCCTGTTCGATAGCTTCGCGAGGTTGGATGCTCGTATTTCAAGTGTAGGACAGACTGCTGCAAAAATTGGAGATCATTTGCAGGTAGAATTAGTCCTGTCTGTAACTTAGTATTGACGTTCTAGCGTCGAAATCTAAACTTGCCCATGCTTCATTTGTCAGAGTGCAGATGCTCAGCGAGAAACTGCTAGCCAGACAATAGAGCTTATTAAGGTGTGAATGTTTTCATGTTGTAACTGGGTAACTTAGAAAGCTAGATTATATTTTTAAAGAAGTTCTTATTTTCCAAATGCAGTACCTAATGGAATTCAATGGCAGCCCGGGGGATCTTATGGAGCTTTCCGCTTTGTTTTCTGATGATAGTCGTGTAGCAGAGGCTGCTTCTATCGCTCAGAAATTAAGTAATGATATGATATTTCTTTTGTTTTTTCAAGACAACTAAACTTTTTCTTCACGTATGATAAGATATGACATTCCGAGACGATTAAACTTTTCTTTGAGTTTTATTTATTTTATTTTGGTGCTTGCCCTGTCTATGCTAGGATCTTTCGCTGAGGAAGACATCGGAAGGCAAGGAATTGTTGGAGGGACCGCAGTCGGAAATGCAACAGCTGGCCGAGGTTTGGAAGTTGCAGTTGCTAATCTTCAGGATTACTGCAATGGTATAGTAGCTTTTTTATACTGCCTTTTGTTTCTTTCTTCTATCATGGAGTACTCTGGAGTCTAACACTTCACTCCGATTTTATAGAATTGGAGAACAGACTTTTATCTCGTTTTGATGCTGCGTCACAGCGAAGAGATTTATCTACCATGTCAGAATGTGCTAAGATATTGTCACAGGTGAAACTTCTTCCATGAGGTCAACATGTATTTAGGTCAGAAGTTTGATTCTGTTAACTCACTGGACATATTCATATGTTATCTTTCTGATCAAGGAAAAGAATTTATAATGCCGAATTGAAACCCTTTTTCTTATGAAGTGATTCTGGGTTATTCGAAAATGGCAATCAGCATAGTGCATGGACATGTAATCCTACTCTGATATGCATTCTTCCTGATGTTCAGTTTCGGTTCTTGATATTCAGTTTAACAGGGGCACAAGTGCCATGCAACATTATGTGGCAACACGTCCTATGTTTATTGACGTGGAAGTCATGAATGCGGACACTAGATCGGTGCTTGGTGACCAGGGTTCTCAGCCTAGTCCTAGCAACATTGCTCGTGGACTTTCTTCTCTATACAAAGAAATTACAGGTCTGAAAGACTACCTTTTATCTAGATGCAAGACATGAACATATTTCTATCTTGATTCATGTCCCCTGTTGTCTGTCATGTAGACACTGTACGAAAAGAAGCCGCCACCATTACAGCTGTTTTTCCTGCTCCAAACGAAGTTATGGCAATCTTAGTTCAGGTAATGGGCATGATAATGTGGAAGCTATTGGCTTTATCCAAGCCAGAAATTAGAATAGGCAGTACCAAACCAATTCTTCTTGTGTCATATGCAGAGAGTTCTAGAACAGCGAGTTACCGGCATTCTTGACAAAATATTAGTGAAGCCATCTCTTATGAATCCGCCCCCCGTGCAAGATGGTGGCCTGTTATTAGTGAGTAGATAACTCCTTTTTCCCATTCTTTCTCATGTATCTGGGTAGGTATTAAGTAAAAATGGAAAGCGAGTTTACTTGTGACTTTTCACTTCAGTACCTTAGGATGTTAGCTGTTGCCTATGAGAGAACGCAAGAACTTGCTAAAGACCTCCGAGCTGTTGGATGTGGTGACTTGGATGTTGAAGGTGATCATGCATCTCTTAAATTTCTGGATAATTGAATTTTGTTGCCTCGTGGAAATATTATCTTTGGTGTTCAAAATCTTCTTTCTCTGTCTCTGCAGGGCTGACAGAGTCATTGTTTTCCACGTACAAGGATGAATACGCTGAACATGAGCAAGCCTCCCTGAAACAACTATATCAAGCAAAGGTGTAACTTGATTTTTCCATTGGCTGATTGAGGTTATCTTTTGTTTTTGTACTTTGAACTGAAGTTCTTGGATATGAATGATTTTATGCAGATGGATGAATTACGTGCAGAGAGCCAGCAGGTTTCTGAATCATCTGGGACAATTGGACGCTCTAAGGGTGCTTCAATATCATCTTCTCAGCAGCAAATTTCTGTTACAGTCGTGACAGAGTTTGTTCGTTGGAATGAAGAAGCAATCTCCAGATGCACGTTGTTTTCATCTCAGGTTACTGAAATGAGCAATTTGAGAGAAGCATTTATCATAGAACCCTTAATCGTTGAGAGTTTTGAGAAAGGATGTAGGATAGACCAAAAAAATCTGAATTTTTTTCATCGGCTAGGAATATGATACTGAAGAGAATTCTGTTCTGGGGGATTGTGTATCTGGTATTTATACTTTTATGTCCTTGTGCAGCCAGCTATGCTTGCAGCCAACGTAAAGGCAGTATTTACTTGCCTGCTAGACCAGGTATGTTATTTATAATATTCAAGCATTTATGTCGGATCATTCATGTTCGCATTGCTAATGAAATAATGGATCTTTTGCAGGTTAGCAAATACATATCTGAAGGACTTGAAAGGGCAAGGGATGGCCTATCTGAAGCTGCAGCATTGAGGGAGAGATTTGTTTTGGGCACAAGTGTTAGCAGAAGGGTGGCCGCTGCAGCTGCTTCTGCTGTAATTTCTTTGCTATTCTCATTCACAAGATTTTAAATGCTTGTCATTCTGTTGATGAGGTTAACTTACTTATAATTGCTTGTTCATTTTCCAGGCGGAAGCTGCTGCAGCTGCTGGAGAAAGTAGCTTTAAATCTTTCATGGTCGCTGTGCAGCGTTGTGGTAGTAGTGTTGCTATAGTTCAGCA